TCTTACTCAAATTTAAATTTGAATAAAAAAGCCCAAAAAAACTTGTTTCAACATTTGACTTAAACTTATACATAATCAAGAGAGACTCTTTTTTTCATTCAAATCAATGTAAACTCAAATTTTTAACCAAATCTTTAATGGTAAAATTTTATCCTCTTTTAAAGATTCAATGATCATCATTACTCTCTCTTTTAAATTTGAGTTTCTCTTTCTTTAAATTTGAGTTTTTCCTTATTTAAATTTGAATTTGTCTAGTGGAATCCTTTGTATCAAATCAAACTTTTTATTCAAATGTTAATTTAAATTTAAATAAAAATTTAAGTCATAGTTGAAGATGTTCTTAACCCTACCATTCCAAACCCATCAAACAAATAGCGCCTTGGAGATTTGATATGAGGACTAAATCAATTGTAATTGTTGAATTGAATATGCGTTTTATCTAACAGTAAAACTCACAACTAATCTAATAATTATATTNCAGAAGGATTAATGATCGAGCTGTTGTTCATCCCCTAAGCTGCTTGTTCATTGCGAAGACTCGCTGAAGCGCAAATCTGAAGCGCAAATCGTCCTGTGCATCAGTTTTATTCAAAATCGGTCGATTTAGCGGTTTGCACACTGCTTTAGATTGTTTGTGGGTCTCATAAAATATTAAAATTTGGTGTCGATTCAATGGTTCCTACAAATTATATTGTTCATTGGTCAATCTAATCTATACTGATGTTTATTTAATTAAAAGGAACAGGAATTAGAGATAGAAAAGTCATTTGGTGTAGTTAACTTGGGCTACCATATACTAAACCGACTCCCATCAGTTTGTCCAACCCCATGTATATGTTTTACTACTCTGTATGTGAATCTCAAGTTTAACAATCCTAATCAAACATGAAATTAAGTGATTTGTCGGACTATTTTTCTTAGAGCATCTCTAACTCTTACTCAAATTTAAATTTGAATAAAAAAGCCCAAAAAAACTTGTTTCAACATTTGACTTAAACTTATACATAATCAAGAGAGACTCTTTTTTTCATTCAAATCAATGTAAACTCAAATTTTTAACCAAATCTTTAATGGTAAAATTTTATCCTCTTTTAAAGATTCAATGATCATCATTACTCTCTCTTTTAAATTTGAGTTTCTCTTTCTTTAAATTTGAGTTTTTCCTTATTTAAATTTGAATTTGTCTAGTGGAATCCTTTGTATCAAATCAAACTTTTTATTCAAATGTTAATTTAAATTTAAATAAAAATTTAAGTCATAGTTGAAGATGTTCTTAACCCTACCATTCCAAACCCATCAAACAAATAGCGCCTTGGAGATTTGATATGAGGACTAAATCAATTGTAATTGTTGAATTGAATATGCGTTTTATCTAACAGTAAAACTCACAATTAATCTAATAATTATATTAAATTAGGTCTCTAAATAAGTGGCTATAAAATTTCTCTCTTTTTTTTCTAGTCGTCAGCCACTCCAATAAAAACCAACTGAACATCACTTTCTTCACTACTTCGCAGGTTTCAATTAGTCTACTACATCAATGACACACTATCTATCTATACAACTTATTTTTTTCTTCTTTAGACTAATTTAATATAATTAAGCATAAGTTCTCAATAGATTAGGAAACTAGTCCCAATCATTCTGTTCCGTTCCAAACACTCCAGACATCCCTGCTCTATTTTTTATTGGGAGTAGTAGCGGATTATATAATCCATCGGTCATGAATAATAAGATGAAAAAGTCCAACCTGATACAAATTTTCCAAAAAAGTCATGAAAATTCCCACGTGTCGAGAACTAATCAAAGAGAATAATTCGTTCTTGAATTAGAAAAAGCACATAGCCATGCATTGAAGACTTGCTAAAGTCTTCTCTGGTTGTTATAAACAAAACGCACAAATTCAAGGCCACCTGCCTATAAATATTAAATTAGGCCTTATAAATATTTATTATAATAATATATATTGATAAGTAATTTTTAAATAAATTAAATATGTTATTTAATTTATTTGTTGTTTCTTTTTGAGATTCACAAATATTAATTAAAATTTTAAATTCGAGCTTTATATATTAAAACTTCATTAACAAAAGTCAAATCCTCGACCAAATGTGATTACGATACTTATCTGTTGAATATACAGAGAAAGAGAAGGAGAATAAAAATTTAGGCGAGTTAACAGAAAAAAAATGAAATAAATATAAAAAATAAAATTTGTATGAGTTTATTGGTCTTGGAATATATGAAGCATGCTTTAATATCGCGGAGAAGCAAGACGGCGTTTAAATAAGAAAAATTTAGCAAGACAACTATGATTACAATTAATTCCAGATAGTGAAATACTTCTNTCTTTAAATTCGAATTTGTCTAGCGGAATCCTTTGTATCAAATCAAACTTTTTATTCAAATGTTAATTTAAATTTGAATAAAAATTTAAGTCATAGTTGAAGATGCTCTTAACCCTACCATTCCAAACCCATCAAACAAATAGCGCCTTGGAGATTTGATATGAGGACTAAATCAATTGTAATTGTTGAATTGAATATGCGTTTTATCTAACAGTAAAACTCACAATTAATCTAATAATTATATTAAATTAGGTCTGTAAATAAGTGGCTATAAAATTTCTCTCTTTTTTTTCTAGTCGTCAGCCACTCCAATAAAAACCAACTGAACATCACTTTCTTCACTACTTCGCAGGTTTCAATTAGTCTACTACATCAATGACACACTATCTATCTATACAACTTATTTNTTCCGCTTAGGACCAAGGTGATGTATAGGCTTTCTTATTTGTATTCGCAAATGTGGTAGCTGACTCTCACTTAAAGTATTTGGGGTTTTATTGTTAGTTGATGATATCATGTCATTAATGTTTATATGGTATCACTGTTGTATTGAATAGAGAATAAATTTTTTACAGTCAGCCTGTAAACAAATTGTTTACAGACAGCTAATCAAAATTAAGGGGTTACACAAAAACCCTTAAGAAGCAATTAGTAATATAAATATGTAGTCAAAACGTAACCATCGAAGAGTAGGTAAGTCTTCTCTGATGGTTATAAACAAAATGTAGTCGGTAATGACTACATCAATGACACACTATCTATCTATACAACTTCTTTTTTTCTTCTTTAGACTAATTTAATATAATTAAGCATAAGTTCTCAATAGATTAGGAAACTAGTCCCAATCATTCTGTTCCTTTCCAAACACTCCAGACATCCCTGCTCTATTTTTTATTGGGAGTAGTAGCGGATTATATAATCCATCGGTCATGAATAATAAGATGAAAAAGTCCAACCTGATAAAAATTTTCCAAAAAAGTCATGAAAATTCCCACGTGTCGAGAACTAATCAAAGAGAATAATTCGTTCTTGAATTAGAAAAAGCACATAGCCATGCATTGAAGACTTGCTAAAGTCTTCTCTGGTTGTTATAAACAAAACGCACAAATTCAAGGCCACCTGCCTATAAATATTAAATTAGGCCTTATAAATATTTATTATAATAATATATATTGATAAGTAATTTTTAAATAAATTAAATATGTTATTTAATTTATTTGTTGTTTCTTTTTGAGATTCAAAAATATTAATTAAAATTTTAAATTCGAGCTTTATATATTAAAACTTCATTAACAAAAGTCAAATCCTCGACCAAATGTGATTACGATACTTATCTGTTGAATATACAGAGAAAGAGAAAGAGAATAAAAATTTAGGCGAGTTAACAGAAAAAAAATGAAATAAATATAAAAAATAAAATTTGTATGAGTTTATTGGTCTTGGAATATATGAAGCATGCTTTAATATCGCGGAGAAGCAAGACGGCGTTTAAATAAGAAAAATTTAGCAAGACAACTATGATTACAATTAATTCCAGATAGTGAAATACTTCTACTCACTCTATTCTATGATTTTTTTGTGCACTTTAAAAAATAAGTGAGCAAAAATCTATCCTAAATTAGAAGTGAACTCAAATTTAATTTAAAAACTCTTAGTTAATAGACAATAAGTTGGACGGTTAATTTTAATAATAAGATAAAAAAAATATGATATTAAGTGTTTTCGTATACCATAAACATTTGGTAAGAAAAAAAAAATCTTGTCAAACTTTAGGGCCCTAAATATTTTTGTAAGAAATTCTAAAACTCCTATTGCGAATTCAATGTTATACTAAGTATACAGTATTAAATGTCACCATAGGGACTGTATTAAAATATCTTTAATATTGGGATCTGTAACTTGATCTAAACTTGATATTAAACGACAATTGAACGAATTTAGTCCAATCTCATTCTTTAATACCCAAAACAAACATGCCATTATAAGAGTCTAACCCATCATATATCAATTTCAAAAAGGATTGAGCCTACACAGTCCCACTACATCTCAATCTGTTACTAAGATGCACCATTATTTCCAGTATAACACTATTTTGTCCCCATGCCTACCTGCAGCTAATATCTCAAACTTCCTCAAACAATGCTTCTTAGACATCATAATACAAC